TTAAAATAATAATAATAATTTATATTAGAAAATGAATGATATATAGATAGAAATAAATGTAATTGCATGTTTTTTTATTTTAAAATGAAATACTTACCAATATTATGCATTCGATTTGATAATCTTATATATATATGCATTATGAGAATATATATATATATATATATGTATATGTGTGTGTGTGTGTGAATTAACTACCTTTGAATTAATTTTTATTAAAAAAATTATTTATTTTTAATGCCTTTATAATTTGTGAATGATTGTGAGAGTAAAATATATTATGACAATAAGATACGTTGAATTGTGAAAATTGTAATTTAAACAGGCTCCTAAATTTTGGATATTTGACTTTCGTAGTTGCGAATTTCTTAAATTAACGGTTAGTTATTACTCTAAGTGATATGATAAGTGTCAGTAATAAATGTGAGATGTGAATTGGAATTTGCAGATATCATTTTACAGGGGTGGTTATTATCCGTTAGTTAAAGTTTAGGAGTTTGAATTTTATGGGGTAGTGGAAAAAACATGAGGGAAATGTGGAAAAAATATAAGCATGATTATAGGATTTGTAGGGCCGGTTACATGATTAGTTAAGAGATAAATATTTTTTAATTATAAAAATGTAAAATTCTATTAAAATAGCACTCAGACTTTTGATAATTTTGGAAGCTCCTTATCCAAAACCCTCCTCAGCAATACATATAGATATAGATACTAAACGATAGTTATGATAGCGAAATAGTTTTTACCTGATATAACATGTTGTTGCACTTTTAACGATCATTTGATTTATTGTTGGACCTATTCACCTAAATAAAATAACACCTAAAATTATGGAAGTAAGTTTCCTATCTAAAACAGTAAGTTAAGTGTAATAGATTAGTAACTTTTATACCTCAAAGGTAAATTGGAATAAATATTAAACTTAATTTTTAAATAAATAGATTACTACTTGATATCCCAAACTTACTTTTAAAAGAGTAAGTTTAGTTCAAATAACAGTAAGTTTTTATACATAAATAGTAATTCTTACTAATAATATGGCAATAAAAATGATTAAGGATCAAAATTTACCATTTTTTGGAATGCATGTACAATTTTTACATTAAAACCTTATCTCAAAGTAGTATTAGGAAGTTTATTTGAAATAATGATAAGATGTTTTTATTAATGATTAAAACTTAGATGTTTTTTTTAATGATTAAAACTTAGTACCTTAGTTAGTAAGCACTCATAATATACCTTAGTAAGTTTAATTCAAGTAATAGTAAGTTTTTATACATAAATAGTAATTATTACTGATAACATGGCAAATTTGATTAATAATCAAGATTTATTGATTTATGGGACGCATGCACTATTTTACTTTAAAACTTATCTCAAACTAGTATTAAAAGTTTATTTGAAATAACGATAAGATGTTTTATTAATGATTAAAGTTTAGTACCTTAGTTAGTAAGTACTCATAATATACTCGTATAATACATGATTATAGGTATAATTTAAAATTTTTTGTACTTATATATTTTAAAATACTATAAAAAATAGTATGAACTAAACCTACTCTCCAAAAAGTAAATTTCGGATATGCAGTAGTAATTTATTTTTAAAAATTTTAAGTTGCATATTTATTTCAATTTACGCTTGAACATACATCGATCGGTGCTCTCTGGATACGTCCAAATTCCAGTGAATGTCTTTAAACTAAATTCTAATCAAAGTAGTATCCAAAATGTAATGATTCAGAGTAAAATGCCCATAAAACTAGTACAAGGACAACTAGTGTGAATATCCGTGCTATCCAAAATATTTATGTATTTTACATAAATGCAATGATTCAGAATAAAATGCCCATAAATAGATAGTAGTTTGTTGATGTAATGCCCATAATCAGTGGTCCCACGATGGCTTTGTTTAGTAATTAGTACTGCTTACGCTTCCTCACAAATGTTTTATTCTTAGCCCTTTATATTTATATTAATTTCGTGACATCCCAACACATTTTTAGCTTCTGCAGTACGCAACATTTCCAAACCCCGGTTATAGGTCACCAGACTCACCACTTGCTTTTGTAGAAATATTCTCTTCTTGATCCGTGCATGTCAGGTTGCAACGTGCCGCCTTGTTTACCATATGTTTTACTTTCCATACCTCTTCTCTGATTACTAAACGTACCGCAGCAACATCCATATATATATATATATATATATATATATATATATAGGCAACACTCCATTGTGGGATTGTAATGAGTGGCAATAATTACAGACAATTAATTGTAGCTTGAAAAGGACAATAGTCTATAGCCTATTTGTTTTTCTTTTGCTTTTGGAGAAGTTTGGTCTTTTCTACATATAAAGTATAAGCTTGTTGATCAGTTACCAAGTGTTTCACTCGACCATTTGATAATCTTTTGAGCACAAATCCAATAATTCAATCACTAGAAAAAGAATGATTTGTCACTTTCATTTATGAGCATCATCATTTACTAATTCCGTTTGTTGAAAAAAAAAAATTTATGAGCATCATTATTTTTTCAACTGAAAAATGAAAGATTCCAATGTCAATTCAATTGAGGTTATCGCCATGGAATCTTTGGTCCCCTATGATACGATGGATTGATGGGCAACGAAGACTTCCACTCCAACAAGGAAAGATAAGATACAAATCAATAATTGAAGGTGTGTATGTAACGGGTATCAACAGGACTTAACGGGTATCAATGGGACTTATAGAATAAGTTAGAAAAAGTGGCAGAAAAGGAAAATATTTAACATGGATTTGGCTATAATAAAACAGAAATGGATCATTCTAATACAGGTGTCCTTAGACTAGAAACAAAACCCTTAGATGTATGCTCTTCCCTCGTGCCATTCTTCACCTCACCCCCTACCCCAGTGGACCAGGCCAGAGACAGCCACTGGCTAAGGGCTTCCCCTCCCCACGTGACGGTCTAGTCCTTTGTGTCCCACACCCACGACTCTTCTTCAAAAAATACTGTAACAAAATGAAAAATTCAAGAAATAAAAAAAATACAGAAATTAGAAAAATTAAAGAAGGGTGGGGCCATGATGAAGGTGAAAGATTGGAAAATTGGAAAACCCCCTGTGGCTGGTTAGTGGGTGGATTTTGATGAGTCAACACATACTCACTCCGATATGGCTGCCACCTGCCCTACTACTATAAAGAGTGATGCTTCCTGGCAGACTCGTTCTTTCATCTCGCGGTATATCTCGTTATTATCGTGGGCTTGGATTTTGTGTTGCTATTATTGGGAGAAACGTCATCCAATTGCGCAATAGATATTTTATCCCGTACCACTTTCTGTCCAACTTTTTATTATATTGCTATTTCTTCTACATAAATAATATGTTTTAATTCTTTTTTGCTTCCTTAAGATCCAATAACTATTAATTAAGTAATACACAAAATTTAACAAACTCAAAAAATTAAAATGCATAAAAAATGGGATTTTTATGAATTTTCTGCTGTATTTTTTAATTTTCTATTATATATTGCTTTTTTGAAGCTATTATATTTATTTTTTACTTAATTAATAGTTATTGGATCTTAAGGAAGCAAAAAAGAATTAAAACATGATGTTTATGAATGAAATAGCAATATAATAAAAAGTGGGACAAAGAGTGGCACAGGATGTGGGACAGAAGATTCGTTGCGATCCAATTGTTTGTCCTTGTGCAAGTTAGTCGCTGTGGTTCGGCCAAATAAAAGTTAGTTACCAATTTTTTTCTTTTATTTTTTTTTTTGTGTAAGCAAGTGATTATGGATACAAGTTTATCAACCGAATTATTGTGGTTTGAGAAAATTATACTTATTTTTAATGTAAATTCTTGAGTTCATGATAAGAATAGCTCTCGCAAGAGAGTTTTTTTTAGTCATTATATTTTCCGTTTTAATAAATATATAAGTTTCACTAAATAAACTTTTTTGTTTATTTTGTGCATGAACTTGATCAAAATATACTTGCAAACAAATTTATGTTTACATACTTGTCAAATATGTGTATTTAGAATTAATTGACATGAAATTCATTGTATGTTAGAGAAAAGTTACTTTTAAATTTCATTGTGAATTCTTAACTTTAAAAATAGAAACAAATTCCTCAAAAGAATTTGATTTAAGTCAACATACAGGTAACTTACATTATGAATTACCGTAAATGTCTTTTAAATCTAAACTCAATGTTTGAGTAAAACAAGGTTAAAAGAAATTTTTTTTTCATCAAATCAATATTTAAAAAAGGTGACAGAAAGGCAAACATTCTTATTCTCACTCTTTTTGCAAGACAAAAAAAAAATCAAAGAAAAGATGAAAGAAACTACCAATTTTTTTTTTTAAAAAAAGAAACTGACATCCTACACCAAGCACTTTCCCTTTTCCTTCTTTAAATCAACAAAATCATTCCAATAATGCATTAATCTTTCTCCCTATTGCCAATCTGTACATGTTTTTAATTTTGAAACCTCCAGTTTACCCCATGACGATAATTTCAAAAATTATTAAAAGAATAAAGTCCAAAAAAAGTTGATTATTATTATTATAATCTTTGAAACCTTTTAGTCTACACTCTGACGATCATTTGAAAAAATTGTTGCAAGAAAATACCCTAGAAAAGATTGCAGTTGGTTTCCAAATCCACTGGCCATGTAACTTCTTTCTCCAAGAAAGCAGCTTGTATGAGCATTTTGTCAATTTACCTGCCTAAGCTTGTAATACTAAATCGAAAATTGTTAGTAAAACTTTAAAATTGTACAATATCTAATAAAATGCCATCAGAAAAAGCTTGGTTCTCTACTTCTCTTCTCTTTACAAAATCTCACGAGAAAATCTATTTTGGACACAATCAATGCGTCCAAACTCTCCTTGATAATAACCCCAATTCAGCCCGCCACTTGCATTCCATAACCACCCGGTTTTTTGGCCCCCGGTTCAACCAAAGCCCCATTCTCAACTTCCTATAAAAGGCCCCTTCCCATCTACCCTTTATCCTCGGCTCTCCCCTTATTATTCGAGCCTATCAAAAACCGCTTTTCATAAATCGCTTTGTGAAAAACGCGTTATCGGAAAAAATGAGTTACTTCAGCCAAGTTAGGAGGGCCGCCAGTGTTGTCGTGGTAACTGGCCACTCCGATCAGGGGCATAAGTGGAAATCGCGGATTAAGACTCTCCACCAGGGGAAGAAAAGGTTCTTTAGTTCCTCCGGTGACGGAGCCGATTTCCGGCCGGTGGCCGTTGTTCTTGCCTCCGACATGGAAGGAGCTTTTACGAGCGGAAAAGGAGAGGAGCGGAAGAAGCAGACAGATGACTCTCTCCGGCAAGTTATGTACCTGAACTGCTGGGGACAAGGGAGGAGTGAGGTTGAGTTCTCCGGCGAAGAGGTGCTGGAGGCGTTTGTTTTTATCTCCGGTGAAGCGATCGGGTATTTTGATGCTCTGCTTTAGACGGGATTGACTTGCTGGAGAGTTGCCGCTGAGTACGGCGAGTCGAATGCGCCGAGTTGACTAGGTGGTGAAGGAGAAGGAGGAGACCGAGTTGACTCGGAGTTGCAGAAAGAGGAAGAGACCGAGTTCAGAAGGCTAATTAAGTTCTGGCCTTGACTGAAATTAGTACAAAATGATGTGGATGCAAATGTAAATATATTGTAAAGTTTGTAGCCGAGATAGAGGAATAATAGAAGAAAAAAAAAAAAGAAGGAAGCTTTTATGGCAGTTGGATATATCTTTTGTCCTTACTTGAATGAATTTTTTTGGTGATTGCATTTGAATGATTATCTCTTTTATGGCAATTGTATTTGAATGAATATTTTTGGTTCTTGTTATGTTTTTTCATTCTACTTCAGACGATAATACTCGATTTATCTCAATAATCCCAGAATATGCCTGCAACATTAGGGTAATCCTTGGTTAATTTTGATGATTAATCAACTTTTCTTTTCTGGATGATTAATTTTGATGACTAATCCGTGGCTAATTTTGATGATTCAAACTAAGCAATCCATGGCGCGTGTATAACATTTCATTTCTTCAAAAAAAAAAAAAAAGAAGTGTACAATAATATTTTACTCTCTTTAAGATGTTCAATGATTTGTACCCTGCTGAACTTATCCTCGAGTCTTGTTGACATTTTGCCCTTATCCGCTCTACTTTTCTTTATTGAAGAGTTGGTAGTAGTTCTGACAGAGCATTTGCTGGTGTTTAAGGATATTTGCTGATTAATGTAACTCGAGGTAACAAGCCCATTGGTTTCTTCTCACCCAACCAAAAAAAAAAAAAAAAAAAAAAAAAAATCTCTGCAAGGATTGGTAATATTGCTTTTTACCTTTCAGGCAGACCCTAAGAAAGATTGTAAGGAGTTTGCTTCACACAAGGAGAAGATGTTCGTTAATTTTTCTTAGACCATGCCGGTAATTATTTCTTAACTCGGCTAATTCTCCAAAGATTAAGATTGTTGAGTAGAGAAAAAAGTTTAAGTTCAAGAATAATTTGCTAGTGAGAATGGTGGATGGCTAACTGCTAATAATAGTGATGTTTAGCTCTTTCATGTTCCTTAAATTAAGCAGCTGAGTGAAAAATGTGTGTTTGTGGTTTGCCCTCGCCTTGGAATAGGGTAATATTTTCCTTCTAAACTTTTGTTTTTTCAACCAAATGAAAATAAGTAATTGAGATTACTTAGCTACTGCATCTTATTTACTTTTTATTTATTTATTACCATTATTAAAGAAAGGTGATGGGCAAGATGATCAAGTCTTTGACAGTTTGATTGAATTTCTGATGGCTTCTTTGTTCATCTTGCAGGCTTGATGGGCTGCTCTCTAGTGGGATAGGTCTCATTTAGGCGAGCCAGGATTTTCTTTCCAGCATTGAATCTGTCCTTGACTCTAGAAGAGACAACTTGAATTCAGCCTAAAGCATTTTATGTCTCGCCCGGTGTTGTTCTTGTTCAAATGCTGCTCTTGAGCATTTTGATTCAGAGATAATTTCAGAAACCTCGAGGGAGGTTTCTGATAATTTCACTAGCCTCCCGTAAACTTTGTAAAATTACACTAAGGTTTTAATAACAAAATTAGTCCAATTAGAAAAATAAATATTAAAAAGTATTTAAGGAGAGAGATGATACTTTTATTTCATAAATATCCCTTATGCATGCCATGTATATACGTTGTATTAGTAAAAGAATGAAAATAATTAAAAATTAGAAACAATTAATGCACATATTTAACAAATTAGACAACACAAATAAATAACAAAACTATACTAATGATCATAGGATTCAGCAAAACAAACTAATCATCTCTTTTGACATGATGTTTGCTACAATTCTTATAATTTTGAAAAGAAAAATTTTTAAATTTTGTCTTTCTTTTCCCTCCTTTCTCCTTTTATTAATATCAAATGATTAAGTAATTAGAACACTAATTAACTATTAGTAACTAATTAACTGAAATAACTGTTAAAAATTTCTTTAATGATGAACAATGACTTGTAATTACAAATTACATCAATTGATAAATCTAATGACGCTATTTTGTGATTGATAGAATTTGACAATGACTAGAAATCAGTTGTACACAATGTGAGAAGAAGGATTCTGGTAGAAGAAAAAATATAGGCCAAAAGAAGGTTGTTCATGTGGATATTTTCTTTGAAACTCTTAAAATTATGATAGTTGTAAAATAATCTCGTGGAAGTAAAAGAGAAAGGATGAAAAAGTAAGGCAAAATTCAAAAAAATTTTTTGTTTAAAATCACGAGAATCATAGAAAATATCATATTAAAAAAGATGATTAATCTGTTTTGCTGGATCTTATGACCATTAGTGTAGTTTTGTTGCTTATCTGTATTATTTAATTTATTAAATTTGAACTTATTGAGTGATGAAATGTATATATTAATTATTTTTAACTTTTAATTATTTTTATTCTTTTACTAATATAACTTATATACATACATAAGGGGTATTTATGGAATAAAATTTTTATTTCTATCTTTAAAGTACTTTTTTAATGTTACTTTTTCTAATTGAGCTAATTTTGTTATCAAAACCTTAATCTTAGGAGAGGTTTGTGTAATTTTACAAACTTCAGGAGAGACTAGCGAAATTATCAAAAATCTCAGGGGAGGTTTCTGAAATTATCCCTTTGATTTATCAAGTAGTTAAACCTTCAAAAAAAATAAGAATACATTAGATCTGGTTCTAGAAAAACACAAAAAGTACACTTCCTATACATTTCAATCATTAAGGAAAAGTTGGCTACATGGCTGCATAGCAAACTACACCAATTCTGCTGAGAGGAAGAAAATGCAAATTATTCAAACTGAAGGACTTGTGTTGGCTACCATGAGATACAAATTTGACCTAAGTCAAATGATTTTTACACATCCAAAATTTAATGGCTAGTGCCTAAGATGCTTGAAGTTTAAGAACACGTAACCAAAAAACCAATGTAGAAAAACCAAGTTTTCTTAATTTTTCTTCCCTCGTTCTTCTTTTGTAGATGGATTGTCCCATCCTTTCTATCTTGTTCTGACAAGGGAACGCAAATGATCAATAGCAACATGCAATTTTTTAAAGACCTCCTAGTCCTAAACCTGCTCACTTTCGCCCATTTTTGCAGTTGCACATAAACTATCATAATAGCAATTTTAATCCCATCTATTTCGGAACCAAAATCAAAAGGGTTGTTGGTGGTCATTTTTAAAACTATTTATGTTGGTATTATCCTTACCAATTACTTTCTGATTATTTTGGCTTGGTTAACAAGGTGCATAGTTTATTTGGATCTATATGACCAAAATTTTGTTGAAAACTTGTTCAATTTGCAATATCAAATAAAAGACAACGAAGATCAGATTATGTAGTGTCTCAAACAAAGAAAAATATGTATCTGTATTTTTGGTTAGAAGTATCGTTGCTTGTAAACTCTGTTAAGCATATATTTCGATTTTGTGCATGTTTCTCAATATTCCATGGATCGACTCAGAGTCAGAGAATATGGTATGTAACGAGGCTAGCTGGCCACCTTGTGAGACTCAGATAAGCTCTGTTTGGATTCTTCATTTTTTGTCAAACAAATTTTTCAAATAAAATGCTACACTAATATACAAACAAAAACAATTCCAAAAACATCATATCACAATATACACAAAGAATTAAAAAAATAAAATTTACACCATCTTCTTATTCTACCGACCACCATCACCCCTACCCACCACTGCCACCACCTTCTCCCTCCTCCTCTCTCCTTCACTTCTCTCTTTCTCTTTCCTCTCTTTTTTCCTCCTCCTCTCCTTCCCGTTTCCCGCCACATCCCCCAGCCAGATCGAAGGGTATGGTGGAGAACCGGAAGGGGAGGAATAGGAAGAAAGAGAGAGAGGATGAAGTGGGAGGGAAAGGAGAGAGAATGAGGGAGGGGTTGGCGGCGGCGGTGTGTGGTAGTGTTAATTTTTAAAAAATACCTTACAAATTTATATACTTTTAAAATATCCCAAAATATATCCCAAAACACCTCCAAAAACACCACCAAACCAAAAACATGTATGGTGAAAGTTTTTTATATATATTGTTACAATAAAATATTTCATTTTTTTTGCTTCATCTGTTGGCATATTGGTGACATTTTCTTTATAAATCCAGACTCTCATTTCAGTAAAGTCAAATAGAAGTTGTTAGATAGATAGTGATGCTTCTTGACAATTTACTTTTTTCTGAATACATATGGTGCTCCTATTACTGACATTGGTCTAAGCTGTTATTTGAAGTACCACCATAGATTATGCTAATGTAATCTTACCAGAGAATGACTTGTCAGTAATTGTGTTTGGATTGCATTTTTCATGAATTTTTGTAGAAAAAATACTGTAGCGATTTGATGTATGTGAAGTAAAAAGGTGATAGGGAAATATGTTCACGGAAAACAAGAACAATTTTTTTTCGAGTTTTTGAGTCCTGTTCGTTGATTTTTGGATTAACTCTGAATTGCTTTGATTATTTATCATGCATCTGTTTACCTTTTACGTAATAATCTTTTCCTGTAGATTAAAAAGTTGTTTGACCTAAAGTTAATGAGTTCATACACGCAATATTTACTGTTTCTCCAACTGAGGCCACTGCCTTTCTTCTCTGATTACAGAGGATAAAATTAATTTTGAACTTTATCAAATGTGGACATGTTTTCTGTTTAATCAAAAGAAAAAGAAAACACCTATTCAGCACATTTCTTACGAGTTTCTAAGAATAACTCCATATACACTGTATAGGGTGAATATATGTACTGATCGTCAAAGTAATTTTTTAAGCTTTATCAGAAATTACTTTTTCCAATTCAACAAAGAATCTTATCAAATCTTATCTTTCTATCAGTAAATCATGAATGGTCCTTTTTGTGTAACGTTATGCTATAAATGTTTATGCAATTTATTGAATGATCCTTAAAACTGAATTTAAAAACCATTGCAGTCCTTAATTTCTTGCAAATAATTCTTGAAGTCTCATTGACAATTTGAATAACCTACAAGATGCGGGAATTATAGAGAAATGAGGATGTTAAATGCTTGTGTGTTACTAGACGTATTCCACTTGAGTATAAACTTAATTTCAAATTTGAAATCAGATTTTAAATTACATGAAAATTTTACCTTAAGTTGGTTGTTTGTAGTTCTGATTTTAGATGTTTTTTCTGGTACAAGAGGCAACGAATTTGGCCTCGGAATTGAGAAGG